CTGAGTCAGGCAGGGCCACTAAGGCAAGCCTGTTCCCAGAGAAATGAGACTTGTTGAACCGGGACTTCAGCTCAAGAGCACCTGACAGCCTTAGGAGGCTTTCCTGAAGAGTGCACTGTGATCTAACAGGATTTACCCAACTTTCGTTCATTTTCTCTCTCCCTCTTCCCCTCCCCCTCCTTCTTCCTTCCTCCCTTCCTTCTCTCTCTCCTTCCTTCAAAATTACACGTCTTGCCACCTCACAACTGTCCCATCCCCTCCCAGAGCCCTCCCTATTTTCACTCACAGGTATTTCCTTCAATAAATTTCTTGGAACTTGCTGCTTTGAGAACACAGACTAACACAGATAGGTTCCACCAAACTGAGCATGTTACCAAGAATTAGAGCTGGGCCTGAAATCCCAGAAATAGAGATAAAACACAAGAGCAAGGTAAAGGGGATCCCCATGAAGACGATGAGAGGAAATTCCAGAAACAGCTTCAGCAGGAGGCCTGGGAAGCACCTGGTGCAGGATGGAGCGGGTGAGAAGGTTCTGTGTGGGAGCACTCTCTCGGGAAGATGCACAGGGAGCGAATCTTGCATGTGTGAACAGTTTGAGAGAAGACTCATCAACTAGAGGAGAGTTTGGGGTTAACTGGTGATAACCTTATAAAAAGCCAAGCAGAGCAGAAGCAAATATACACCAGGAGGAGGATTCAGGGGATAATTTAGAACTGGAAAATCAAGAAATAGCAATATGAGCATGGTTTTTACAGCTATGTCAGAAATTCCAAGAGAACCAGTGAAAAAATTTGGAAAGACCAGGTACTGCTATTTTTTTCATAGAAAGCCTGATAGAACAATTTCTTTCTCTAAACTGTAAACATACAGAACTTTTATTAAATGCAATTAATGTTAAAAAGAACAACCACCACAAAAAAGCTGAGTCTTAGTTTAGATTAAAAGGCTTTGCTTCTTATCCCAGCCTCCTCACTAGCTGGATCCCAGCTCAGGGCTCCACTGGCCCTTGGTGTCCTCATCTTTGACCAGTATGATAGTCACACCCACCTCAGAGAACTTAGTAAACATTCAGTGAGGGGACACATTGTGTGGCTTATGAGGAAACACACAGGAAAGACTGCCACTCTGTGAGCACCCGTCTGCCTCCTGGTTCTATCGATGTTCGAGCTCCTATTTGGGAAAATCTCACACAGAATTTAGGGAGGCCTTGAGCCCAGTGGGTAGATCGTGACCCCTGGAGCTTGACAGCCTCGGTTTCCATCCGTGACCCACCACTTTTCAGTTCTGTGACCTTGGAGATTGACTTCACTTTTCTGAATCTGGTTACATTATCTATAAAGTGGGGAAAGTAAAAGAACTCACCCTCATGTGGTTGTTGGGAGGAATGAAATGCCAAATGCATGCAGCACAAGATGAGTGCCTGGCGCGGAGTCAGCACCAGCTACGTGCCAGCTATTTCTATCCTTGCACTTTAGAACAGTAAGGTATGTCTTTCAATCATTAAAGGAACTTTTTGTTAATACATTTACTTAGGACCTCTTAGAATATAGTCAGGGCAGACTTGTGACGGGGGTAACAATGAACCCTCCCCTCAACTTCAGAATGAGTTTTCTTAGGGTGTAAACACATTTAACTTCTCCGCCGGCCTCTGTGCAAAGAAGACTGTTGGCTCTGGAATCAGGTTTCCCGGCATCAAACCTCGGCTCTACTCCTGACCAGAGGGGCAACTTGGACAGATCAGGAAATGGCTTAATTTCTCTCTTATTCTATGTCTTCATCTGTCAACAAGAATTGGCTAAACTGCCTCAAAAGAGTACGGTGAGGATTAAACATGAAATGGCATTTAAAATGCTTACGGTCATGCCCAGAACTCAGTAAGTTCTCAACAAATGTCAAATATTAATAGTATTATTAGCATTCCCATTATTAAAATATTTCCTTCCATTCAAGACCTTGAGCAAGAGATACATTTTCTCTGAAACTCTCTCCAAAAACCTATATTGATTCTTGATTGTTTGAATGTCCACTAGCTCGAGATCTTGCATAGATGTGGCTGCCTTATTCTTTGTTTACAACCTGTGGTCATAAATGCATTGTTTCTTTATCCTAAGTGTATTCGCCAGGATGGAATCTTCTTAAAGAAAGGCCCCATAGCACACTGCGATAAACAGATTGTAGATGCTAAAAAAGGATCTGTGGACTTTTTTTTTTTAATTGACAAGCCTTTCTCTCTGCTGCATAATAATCATAATTAGCGTTTGCTAGTGCTTGCTTTATGCCTGGGCTCCCGCAATCCTTGCAATTCATCTGGCCTCAACACTGAAAGTTTGTGTGTGTATCAGTTATCTTTTTCTGCCCCAAGACTTAGTGGCTTAAGCCAGCCACACCTGGTGTTTTTGACCCATCTGTGGATTTGTTGCTTAGACCTGGGCTCATGCCTGCAGCTGCATTTAGCTGGCAGTTTGGCAAGACGTTGGGCTCAGCTTGAACAGCTAGGAGCTGTGTCTCTCTTTCCCAGTCTTTCCAGCCAAACGAAGTCTTCACAAAATGAGGGCTCCAGCACACCACCCTCACCCCCTCAGACAAGCTTACATCACACTTGTGGTGTTCTGTTTGCTTGTTTCATGTGTTTTGATGTCCCGTTGGCCAAAGAAAGTCTGGGCGAAGCCTAGATTCGGTGTGGAAGAGGAATTCATAGAGGAGGAGTCCTGCCTCTGGACAGTTCCTGTAGAAATCTACCCTGTGCATAAGCTCAGGTTTACCACAAGGGCGGAGATTCCTGGGCAGTAAGTATCTCCACTGGGACATCCAGCTAGTGGGTCGTTGCAGCAGAATTTGAACCCAATCTGGTTTATTTCATTTCATTCTGAGTTCTAGTAAAAAATCAAAGCTAGTCAAAATCAATTGGGATTTTCTCTTTCTATTGGAATTTTATTTGGATAAAGTCAACAACGTAACGAGATAAACTCACGACTTGACAGTCGTGCCTCTCACATCACATCCATGAAAGACAGTGTGGCAGAGGCTGTTGGTTTGCCGTTCAACCCACTGTCCTTTGTTTCCTCCACTACAGAGAGTGGACAGCTGATTCCAAGCCTCCTTTGCAGCTGGGCATGGACATGTGACAAGGTTCTGAGCTCTGAGTGGCAGGCAGGTTTTCCTGGGAAGACTATATTTGCCAAATGTTAAAAAAAAAAAAAAAAAAATCCAGCAGAAAGCTTTGCATTCTTCTTGTTTTTATTTCTTTTTTTAGCATCTTTGAGTTATAATTGACATACAAAGAATTACACTTCTGTAATGTGTACAATTTGATGAGTTTGCACAAGTACGAACACCTGTGAGACCATCACCACCATCAAGGTGGTAGACATATCCATCACTTTCAAAAGTTTCCTCATGCCCCCTCCCCACTTTTTTTGTGTTGGAAGAATACTTAACAGAAGAGCTACCCTCTTAACAAATTTTTAACTGTGCAATACATTGTTGTTAACTCTAGGCGCAACCTTACGCAGTGGATCCCTAGAATTCACTTATTTGCAAGAATTAAAACTCTATACTCATGGAACAACACTCTTATCCCTTTTCCTAACCCTGAACATGGAACTGCCTGGAGGGGCAGCAGGCATGCTAGAACCATGAGAATAAAAACTACAGAGAAGGGAGGAAGGATCAAAAATCAGAGAAGGAACACAGATCCTTGAAGATGTTACTAAGAAGCTGTGTTAGCCCTGAATCCTCACCCTCCTCGGTACTCATTTTTATGTGAGCAAAACACAACCTCAACTGTGAACACCTCTGTTCACCACGCTCTCTGTACCTTGCAGCTCAATGCAATCCCAGCTGCCTTAAGACATGGGAAGTCATTTCAAAGGAATGAAGTTGACACTGCAGAAGTTTTTGGGTTTTTTTTTAATGGAGTTTTCTTTTTTTTTTTAAGATTGGCCTTGAGCTAACATCTGTTGACAGTCTTTTTTTTTCTTCTTCTTCTCCCCAAAGCGCCCCCAGTATAGTTGTATATTCTAGTTGTAGGTCCCTCTAGTTCTGCTATGTGAGACGCTACCTCAGCATGGCCTGATGAGTGGTGCTAGGTCCGTGCCCAGGATCCAAACCAGCAGAACCGTGGGCCACCAAAGTAGAGTGCATAAACTTAACCACTTGGCCGTGGGACCAGCCCTACTGCAGAAGCATTTGAACCAATTAACTATATAAACAATTCCAGCAAAATTTTTATAACGTCAACCATCTTTATCATTTTGCCAATGCCAACTTTGCCTTGCTGAGGAAGGAGACACTTGCCAAAATGACAGAAAGGATTAAATCATTGCTTTCCTGGGCTTTGCTTCTGGAGGTGGAGCCAATGACGTCAGTTTGGGGGGTGCTCAGGCCACTTGCCCAACTAGCTTATGATGGGTTTTATTACTCACATGTTGTAATTTAATGAAATGGTGGCAGAATTGTTTTAAAAAACATATTTGCAAAGTTCAGATGGAAACAGGTAATATCATGGATAATAAATTTCTGAACCTTAGTTTTGGATAATCAAAATACCCCAAATACCTAGTCTGAATTAAAAAGGATTTTTACAGTGTGATAGAAAGGTAAGTCACGACTCAATGCCTTCATCGAGCAGGGTTAAATTAAGCACAGGGTCATTTTAGGTTAGAAATGAAAATGAAAAATCCTTTTGGAGTATTTTAACACATATATACTCCTTTTATGAGAACAATTAAAAAGTGTTAACGGCTAGTAGCTTCCGTCCACGTGGCTGTATTTTCCGATCAAGTCCAGGGTGTTGCATTTAGTTGAAAATCCTGCCGTCACATGAAATTGTGTGGTCTGGAGTGGAGAGTTCAGCTCCTTTCTTTTAAATTTATTTCATCCAGAGTGAAAAAAGGTACACTCTTAGGGTAGAAAGAAATCATTTCTGGTTCAACAGATTTTTCCTTTTTTAAGTAAGAACAGGTTAAATACTTATAAAGAAAGAGAAGAATATGAAGCACCCTGGTCAAGTATCAGAGAATTTAATGGGATTTTAATTTTATTGATAAAACACCCTTCATTCAAAGAAAATTAAATTGAGCCTTTTTGTGGAATATGGGGTCCAGTGCTCCATTTTATGTTTATATGCAAATTGAAGGGCAGAACTGAGGTAACTATCTGGAACCTTCCAGAAGAAAATAAACACTCTTGTATCTCCAAATAGCCAGAATTTTGTGCAGAATCATCTCAATATTTCTTTGTCAGGCCTGAAACCAAAGCAAAAATAAACTATTTCAGCCTGTTAGCTACAATTTGGCTAACCATCTCTCAGACTAGCTAATCAATCAACAAATACTACTTTTTATTTGGCTACCACCTGAGGAGTACAAATAATTGCATGACCCGTTACTGGAGCCTTAATGACAAAGCTTGTAGGGAAGGCAGGCAGGTGAGAACGCACTTGCTGAAGAAACCTCAGAGCATCAGCACTGAGCCAAGGGTGAGCCAGAAAAGCATTGCTGGGACCAGAGGGGAAAGGACTGTCTTGGTACAGAACACCACAGACTGGGTGGATTAATGACAGACACTTCTTTCTCACCATTTGGAGGCTGAAGTCCAAGATGAGGGCAGCAGCATGGTGCAGTTCTTGTAAGAACTCTTGCTGGCTTGCAGATAGCCTCCTTCTCACCACGTCCTCCTATGGAGGAGAGAGACAGAGAGAGAGCTCCAGTGTCTCTTCCTCTTCTTATAAGCACACCAGTCATGTTGGATCAGGGCCCCACCCCTATGACCTCCGTTAACCTTATTTACCTCCTTACAGGCCCTATCTCCAAGTACAGGCATACCTCGGAGATGCTACAGATTCGGTTCTAGACCACCTCAATAAAGCCAGTATCGCAATAAACTGAGTCACACGAATTTTTTGGGTTCCCAGCGCGTATAAAAGCTGTGGTTACACGAAAATTGTGTGCGATCGCATTATGTCTAAAAAACAATGTACATCCCTTAATTAAGAAATGCTTTGCTGCTGAAAAATTCTAACCATCATCTGAGCCTTGAAGGAGTCATCATCTTTTTTGCTGGTGGTGGGTCTTGTAAAAAACACAACGTCTGCAAAGCGCAATAAAATGAGGTAGAATAAAACAGGGGACGGATGGACAGCCATTCTGGGAATTAGGACTTCAACAGCTGAATTTTGGGGACACAATTCAGGCCACAGCGGGCCCATGGGCTGGAAGAAGCCGGGAAAGAGCTGGGCCAGTGTCATTTGGTCTGCCTGACCGTGAGGCTGGGCTGCCTCCTAGGATGTGTCTTCAGTGGCCACCACTGTCACATTGCAGGGAGAAAAACCTTCAGAGTCCGACTTCCAGCCACCCCACCCCAGACTTTGTTCCTGTGCCCTCAACGGGCCTTTGCTTTTCATCCAAACAATTAAAAATGGCCGAAAAAATAATTAGATAAAAGGGGATTAAAATCTCTGTCTTTACATACACGCGATTTCCAAAGACCATTTTGTTAGTCAAGAGCTACTGGAAATGACTTTTTGGTGCTGCTCTTGATTTTCCAATTGCTCTCCATAAGAGATCTCCTGCAGAAGCTGGCATGCACCTTAAAGATAAAAGTGACGCTCCCCTCAGCTCTCCACTGAAATACAAGCTCATAAGAGCAGGGATTTCGATGTGTTTGCTCACGTTGTAACCCAGGCCGGGAATATATAGCGCCTGCACATAGCTGCTCCCTCACCCTGCTTGGAAGGAAGAGGGGATGTGCGGGGCCGGAACTCGAGCGTTCCTATGTACCTTCCCACTCTTGTCATCCTGGAAGAGCATCGTTTGCCCTTCTATTTAAAATGGCTTTGTGTGTTGAGTTCAAATGGATATAATCAGGCAGTTCTACGCCCATCGTGGTCAGCAATGAAACACCAGCACTCAGATATTTATTGAATAAAATAGTAGAAATAGAAAAAATAGAAAGAGTCAGTAGGATTTGAATAGCCTGAGAGAAATGGGAGAGATTTTTGTTAGAAAAGTAACATCTGAATGGTTATTGAAAAGGAGCATTTTAAGACCCATGTGACCATCACGTGAAGCATTCTTGAGAACTAGAGAGGGGACTGTGGCTCCAGGAGGGATAAGTTGGAAGCGCAGATGAGCCTGACATAGGGAGGACCAAAATAGGATGGTGGAGGATGGAACCAACAGATGGACTGAGAGTCATTGAGAAGGCAAAAGGGAAAACTCTCCTTAGCCATTTGAAAGGGGAAAGTGGTAGGGTCCGGAAAGGAATGGAAACAGCTCTTGAAATCGCAGGCTTGACGGCTTGGGAGAAAGAGGTCCCCACTGACTGAAGGAAGAAGTATCTTTGGCACATGACAGCTTACCTGCAGCCTTCATTCCCTCATCAGGAAACTGTGCTGGCCTCCTGGTGGACTTTGTCAGATCATGTTGAGATTGTTTGTGTTGAGGGAGACAGGGAAACTCTGTGGTTACGGTGTGGAATGGAAATCCAAGTGTCAGGGCCTGAATGTTTGCATCTCCCCAAAATTCATATGTTGAAACCTCCCCCTGAATGTCGTGGTATTAGGAAGTGGGGCCTTTGGAAGGAGATTCAGTCATGAGAGTGGAGCCCCCAGCAATGGATTAATGACCTTATAAGAAGAGACCCCAGAGAGCTCCCTCACCCCCTCCACCAAGTGAGGACACAGAGAGAAGACTGTCCAGGAACCAGGAAGTGGGTTCTCACCAGACGCTGAATCTGCTGGTACCTTGATCCTGGACTTCCAGCCTCCAGAGCTGTGAGGAATCAATGTCTGTTGTTTGCAAGCCTCCCAATCCGCGGTGTTGTGTTATAGCAGCCTGAACGGTCTAAGACACCGAGACCCGTGAGACTGGATTCTGACTTAGTTTCTAGCTGTGTGAATCTGGTCAAATCACCTAAGGTCACTAGGTCACTTGTTTCTCATCTGTTAAAGAACAAAGTCTGTCTAAGTCACAGGGTTGCCACAGGGACTGAAGAACAGGACGTGTATAAATTGCATAGCACGTTGTTGGCACACGGTAAATGGCAGCTATGGTGACAACGATGATGAGCAAAGACTGCGTTATTCACCATCCTGTCCTCGAGGGCCAGGGCTGTGCCTGGTGCCTGGTTTACTCCCTGTAGATGTACTAAAATAACTGAGTCTCGTTTGGACACACAGAGTGTAGCCATCAATAAGATATCAAAATAGAAAATTCTTCCAGCTGGTCAGAAATATGAGTCCAAAATTTGAGAGAGATCCTGCCCAGGGATATTTATTCGGGAGTTATTCTTATAAAGTGGGTGTTTTGTTCGTTTTGTTTTTAAAATAATACTTCCCAGGCAGTGTGCTAAACCCTCATCAGCATTATCTCCCTGAAACTCAAATGACACTGTGATAAAGGAGTAATGGTATTATTGTTCCAGAGAATCTGATTCCTAGAGATTTCCAGCAACTTGCCAAGGCCGTAGAGCACGCAGAGGGACAGGAGCGAGGGGTCGGGGAAGAGGGCTGGGGATGAGTCTGGACTCCACCTCGGTTCACCAGGCACCAGGACAATGCTCATGATCTGATCCAGTCCATGCTGCCTTACAGAGAAGACTCTAAGAGCCCAGAGGAGGGAAGCCCTTACCTGTGGCTCTTGCACATTCCTTGAGCCCTGATGCCCTGACTTCATCTCTGAGAGGCCAGGGGAGGCTGTACCAGCCTTTTTCTGGGCTCTGCTTCAACATTTCCTTCCAAATAACTTTCAAATGCATTTATTTATCTCTTTGTGTTCAAATGAACTCTTACGTGAAAGTAGATCAAAGCGGAGTTCTCCAATTTATGAAATAGATCAACCAGGGGCTGGGAAACTCGGACCTGCAGCGACCACCTGCAACGCTAATGAGCATCCTCCCTGGAGACCAATGAGCTGCCTCTGCAGATCCGCAGATTCCAAATACAGACTAGAGCATGGCGATTTGTTAGCGAGGAAGGAAACAAGCACACTGACAAATCTATTCCGGGCCCTGAAGTATCTGAAATGACTCCCCCGCCATTGCTGCACCACTGTCTTTACACTGAAGTTCACTGGGGTAATGAATTGCAAAGCATAGAAAGTGTCTTCTGAAAAAAAGTAGAGTCCCATGGATTTCCAGACACTGAGCATCGCATGGCCGTTTATCAGGGAACCAAGAGGAGGGAAGAACCACTAATAAAAATGCTTGTTATGAGAGCCCACATTGACATCCTGCAACAAGATCTCTGTCCCACGGGCAGGAATTTGGAGCTGCTTTTCCAGGAGTGGTGGCAGACTTCTCTATGACCCAACAGTACACTTTTGCAAAGTGGTTGGCTAATGTTCTGGAATGTAGTCTGTGGCTGTTCAATGAATTCTTTCCTGTGAGCAAACAAGCTGGCTCTAGAGGTAATCACACATGGCCACTTATTTCCATTAGCAACCCCAAACAAGCAAGTGACTTTACCCAAACAGTAGAAAAGACTAGGTTATTTTTAAATGTGCTCAGTTTAACGTGTTTCACAATTCGCGATTTCCCAACAGCAAAAAGAATGGTAACAACTCCTGAAATTACATGAGAATTCAGAAGGAGGCACACCAAGTAGGGAAAGAAGCAACCGAGGGCAGTGCGCACATTACAAATGAATGAAAATAGTGAAATCCTGTTTAGAGGAGCCCATATCCATTTTTTTTTTTAAAGTCCTAGTAAGATCTAGTTTAAGAAGACAAGAGTCATGACTTTGGGTGATGTTCACAACTATGTGTCCATCTAATGTTTTTCTCTCAACAGGCTTCTTGTATTTTTAAAAATAAGTATGCTCCAAACTAGCTTTGAGGAATGTGTTTGTAAAGACAGCCTGATTGTAAAGCCCAGGAGATTACAAGGAGTCCGGGAGGCAGAGGTTTCTTGGTTTCCCATGATGGCAGCGCCTGCTGAGTCAGTTCAAGTCAACATGACACAGCTGGAAATCCCACAGCCCTGGAAAATTGGGCCATCCATAGATATGGAAAGGGTACCCAGCATGGCCCCCACGGATGTCCTACACAGATGTCGAGGCAAGAGCCACAGCCTCTCCAGGAAAATGTGCCCACTGGAAAATTAAAAGGAAAGTTTACGTTGATTCCACGGTGCAACTAATCAGAAATTTTCAATCACCTTTACACCTGATTATGCAAGACGACCTCTTTCTTCTGAATCGCACTTGAAATGAGCAGTTCTCAGCTAGTTAAGGATAAAAATGGCTTTTAATGTCTGGCATTGTTTTGTAATCAAATGTACTTCTTGGTAGACCTGGTACCTGACAAGTGAATGCTGTAGTCAGCCTTTCTCCAGAGATTCCCCGCCGGTTACCTGAAGGAAACACTACTTACCTGTGAGACAGTCATTTCTTGGACAATTCCTTTCATCTGTAAGTGAGGAAATGAGTCAGCTCTACTAAGTGTTACCTCACCATCGGTGTTTTGTTATTCAGCAGGAATGGGCCCTCATTTTGTTACTCATAGAAGCCGGGTATCGCCCAGCGTCCAGGTCGCTGTTGACAACTCTTTTTCAAACAACTACAGGTCTGTTGTCGAAGATCTTAACAGTCTCTCTCATTGGAAAAGTGCCCGGCTGGTCACAAGATTGCATGACTCATTGTAACTGCTCAACTTTAGCTAAACACCGAGCTCAAAGGACAAAATCAGCTCCGTGATGTCATCCTTTGTCTATGTATCTTTAACATAGTTTAGATACAGAGGGAGTTGTGTAAGACGCGAAGGTTTCCAATGAGAAGAATGTGTCTGAAATACTTAGGGAGAGAAAACATTTCAGGGTTCTGTTTGAATACAAACACAAGACATGCTCCAGGAATTTGGGCTGTGTGGTCTTTGCTGACACAAAGTTTCAAGACCTATAAACTAGTCACCTGGGCTGGTCAAAGTTTAACTCAACTGACATGTTTTGGGCTTAAATAACCGTTTAAGAATGTCGAGTTTTCAGAACAGACTGAGGAATGTTCTCATCTACCGCTATTTGAAACCTAAGAGGATAATGTGCCAAGAGTTTCTAAATGTGTTTCAAAACCAAGGAAAATATAAACAGTGCTTGTGCATAGGTGGTGGGGATCATCAGTAACTTCTTATCTTCTTTCTATTCTTTTGCATTTATTTAATGATCAGGCGTTGCTTTAATAGTGGAGAAAAGTTAAGTGGAAATAAATATTTCAAGTTTGCTCAGAGTTAGCTCCATAAGACGAAAAATACAAAAGACTAAACAAAGTAAGTAAGTAAATTGACACCTACCTCAAACCTGTGCTGATAGCTTTCATTATAATGTCAGTAAAACCGCATGACCAAAAATGAGATCACTGTTTACCTAACTACGCTACTGGTCCCAAAACAGCAAGCACGAAAGGGGTTCCCATATTCACCAGTTGTAACACCGGCGGCGGCTGTCTCTTCCAAGAAATTGAATCATTCATCTTGGTAAAACCCAGCCAAGATGAGGAAGGCACACAGGACGCTGCACAGCCAAGACAAAGGAAGTATTCTTAATGAAGCTGATGATACCACCTCTGCAGGATGGAAAACTAGAAAACAGAGCAGGAGAGAGCGCGTTGCATTTGGGTTAGGCTTGGGATCATGTGAAAAAGTTACATTTCTTTTAAATTTAGCAAATCATTGTTTAACTTCCTTTTTTAGCTTTGCCTGTTTGCTTCTGGAAGGTCTTAAGAAATTATAGAAGCTTTGTCAGACTCTAAAGAGGAAGTCAAGAATTTGTAACAAGATAGCACATCCTGCTCCCTTACCCTCAACACATATGGCTTGTTTTTGAAGAACCTTGCTTCCATGCACATTATCCAACTTGTGCCATGAAATTTGTAGGGTGAAGATTATGTATTTCTGTCACTGAATTGTTCTTTAATAAAATACCACTTAAGTGAGAATTCTTCAACACTCAGTTCTCCAGTCAGATGGAGTTCTGAGTCATCCTTAACACCCTATCCATGCGACTTCAGGGTTGGTCTCCAGAACTCCTGATGTCTGTGATGACATCTGTTGTTCTTGCCATGTGCCTCCCCTGCTTCATGCACTTTTGCAATATCTACTCTCAACATTCGTCTGTCATCCTATGTCCGTAGAGTCGTATTGATCATTTTAATCTTGAGTGACTACTAGCAGACATGTCATTGCAACCAAAGACTGGCGTCCATAGAGGCCAGCACCACTTTTGCAGAGAGTATTAAAAACAATATGCGGACCTTAAAAATAATTATTAAACATGTCAATTGTTTCCATGTCTGTGTTTCTAGACAGATTCTAATCGTTAATAATGACCACATAAATAGGTTTTTCAATAGAAACATAATTTAGATCACTCTGAAAAACTAAGAAAGTGATGCCACAGCAGTTTACATCAACTGATCTTAGACCCGGAAAAAGTTAATTTTAAGGGGTGAAAATGACAAATGTAGAGTAACTTTAACTTCATTTTTTTTCCTGTGTCTTGTTTAAAATTTATTGATTATTCAAGATGCACATAAGATTTGCCCCATCGTCTAATGATTTAGTGTTATTTTACACAGTCTGCAAAAGGCCTTCTAGGACCAGAGGGTTTCCTCTCCTCCAGCTGCGGAGTTAGCACTGGTCTCTCTGCGCTGCCCGCACTCCATCCTGTTGATGCTGTAGCCCATCCTTATTCCTCCAAAGTGAGTTATATACACCAAGCATCTTTATCTTCAGTGATTAACTCATTCAGACTAAAGTATTCGTGACTATTGTCTCTCCCGAGCGTGTTAACATTTTAAACAGGAGACGCAAATGAAAAATAAATGATCATTATCAATGGAAGCAGCAGGTCCTTCCACAGCCCCAGCAGTTTAGACACAATTACCCAGCTTCTCCTGTTGCTTGAGCAATCACATATGTATTTCTGAATCAAAATATAACTAATAACTTGACAAATGATTTTTTCAGATTAGTAATTTTACATATGTGAAATGTCTTAGTGATAAAATTTAAATGGCATGTACTAGGCATTCAATGATTTTCTTCCTCCAAATGGAGCAAACTTCATTGAAAATCAGTTATCTCGTGGAAAACAGAAAACTCCTGGTGGCTGTGCTGACCTGTAAAACTGGACGGCCGAGGAAAGGAATGTGATGGTCACCGTCAACATCATTCTTCTGGTTCTGTTACCTCTCGGTAAAACCAGACTTCAAACAATCTTCACATTCTCCCCTGTTTCACAGCAAATTTCAATCTCCTCCCTGACCGCTCCTGCCAAAGTCTTTTCTTTGATAAGTGCCAGCAATTTTAGTTGCTTAGTAAAATTACATATATATATATGTGTGTGTGTGTGTGTGTGTGTGTGTGTGTGCAAGATATTGAATATCTTATCCAATTTTTATTTATGGAACAAATAAAAGCAAGATATTAAATATTTATTTATTTATATGCTTTTAGTTGACGTTTGGGTCACATTCTCAAAGCATCTGGCATGTCAATTATATAAATGAGTGAGAGTTAAATAAAAGAGAAAAAAGGAAGAAAAGAAGGGATTCAGCCTCCCAAACAAGTAAAAGGAGAGATTAACCACTACAGAGAATGCCAATTCATAAATTTTCAATAAATTAAATTACCAATGTATTTCATAAGAGCTACTTATGTGATTTAGTTCATTTCTGCTCACTAGGAAATAGTTTGAATCAGCAAATTCAAAGTGAAATTACCTAGAATGTCCATGAAAACTTTTCTAGCTTCAGGCTGTCTTCTAGTTTTTGTCGTCATTGTTTCATTTAGTATGAAATAGAGAGAAGTTCATATATCTTTATATATACACATATACAGATAAATATATAACAACTATACAGAGTCACATATATATAATACATATTTATATATTATAAATAGTTATATACACATCCACATAGAGAGAGAGTTGTAGGATTCTTTTCGTTGCCTTAAGCAAAGACAACAGTATAACCACCATTCTTTATTTCAAGAAAGACCATTCTGTCATGCTGTGACATCAGTTAAATATTGTGCAATTATTTTTCCAGTGGATTTGAGACATCTCAAGATTGCTGATGTCTTTCCACTTATCTTCACATCAAGATCAAGCGAAGCTGCCGAGAGGCAATGATCCCGTCTGAGTCTCATTTAAGGCTGAGTCCTACCTCGTCATTTCTACACTAAATCACAACAGATGACGTAAGCAAACTGTAAATCTTTGGCTTTGGGAGCACATGGATTTGGCTGACTAAGGACTCTTAAGTGTTCTATAAATTAAGGCAGGGAACAAATAACATCTCAGTGTATCTACTCCAAGAACTAAATATGCAATTTCATACCCAAGAGATGAGCCGAATTTGTGCACCACTTGGGAGTTACAAAAAGTTGTCACACTCAGCCTCACCTTCTTTTGAGATCACAATTTCTTAGCAGGATTAAAAAATATTGATACTGGAGCCAGCCCGGTGGAACAGAGGTTAAGGTCACATGCTCTGCTTCAACAGCCCGGGGTCCAAGGACTCGGATCCTGGGCATGGCCCCACACACAGCCCATGAAGCCATGCTGTGGCAGCATCCCACATACAAAAGAGAGGAAGATGGACACAGTTGTTAGCTCAGGGCCAATCTTCCTCATATATATATGAGTATATATATGTGTGTGTATTTATATATACACACACATATATATAAATTAAATACAGTAGATGAAGTTGGTTTGTCATAGCACCCACGACATCTATGAAACAGATGCAACACTTATCCCAGGCATAAGGCTGCCTGTGAAATTATTAGCTGATGTTGGAAATAACATACTCACTGTGTCCCATTTCTAAATAACAAAAAGAGGGAGAGGATTTTGATATTTGATCATTTCTAATGACTGAATCTGTCTAGGAGATTATCACACTGCTGAAGAATTTTAGTACCATTGCTTATCTTAAAATAACGTAATAAGGTATAGCTCTTAACTCAAGATTCTTTGTTTTGTGAGGAACCAGCCTGTAAAAAAAAGAAAATGGAATAAGAGTCTATTTGTGCAGCTCATGTAATCTAAGATGCAGATCTACGGCAGAGGATGAAGGCACAGCCGAGGGCAGAGAGAAGGAGCAGAAGGAGCAGCCATGCTAAGTGCCATCTGCAGGAGCCAAACTTGAGTGAGATTGTTGAGAGAAATATCCTCAAATGACTTATAACTCGCAATACTTACACATACTTAAAACGCAAGCACTCCGATCACAGGATTAACTGAAGAATCTGATCTGATGTACTCAGACCATGCACTCAAATTCTGTGGAAAATCACCATTTCAAATATCACATAGAGGAGATAATTCTCCTCCATAGGGACTTACAAAAATGAAATATCTGGTTCTTTCAAGTTTTAGCCATATTTGTTTGATCCGAATTAAGTTAAAATCTTCTTATGATATGAAAAGTTAGATAAGTAGATAAGAAAATCTATCTCATAGGCATTATTTTATGAGAAAATGGACTGAAAAGAGTAAATACTGGCCATAGCAGTTACTATATTCAAAAGCCATACTGATTAACACAGGTGTCTACTGCCAAACAAGAAAATAATGCAGGGGCTGGCCGCATGGCTGAGTGGTTAAGTTCGTGCACTCTGCTTTGGCGGCCCAGAGTTTCACCAGTTTGGATCCTGGGCGCAGACCTGGCATCACTTATCAAGCCATGCTGAGGTGGCGTCCCACATAGAAGAGCCAGAAGGACCTACAACTGGGATATATGTGCTGGGCGGCTTTGGGGAGAGGGAGGAAAAAAGGAAGATGGGCAACAGATGTTAGCTCAGGTGTCAATCTTTAAAATAAAAGAAAGACACAAGAAAAGAAAAGAATGCAGTCTGTGGGGAAGAAGAAATTTTGATAATGATGAATATATTATTTAAAATTTTTTAGATTATAAACTATATATTTCATATTAGAAACTTTCAGATTATAAACTAATGTATTTAAGGATAACTTGAATCTCTAGTGAACGATTGGCAAAGTTGGCAGGGAGGAAAACACGCTTAATGATCACATACAGGATTTCAGACATCATCTCAAACATATTTCTATCTCAGGACCTAGGAGTTCCTGCTATTTCCTAGGAACACCACCATCTGATAACCTAACACTTTGTAAACCAGAAATTGCAGTAACTGGTTACTTGGCGTATCTAAAATAATCCTGAAAATCCCAGGCATTCAGCATTCATGGCTAGCTCAATAGCAGAATAAATGGATAATTTAGAGAGTAGATTATTCTAGTGAGTGTTTCATTA